CTCTAGTTCTATCCATGCTGAGACAAACGGAATAATTTTGTTCTTTCTTAGAGCTTCATAGTACTCCATTGTGTGTACACATGTGTGTATACACATATATGGATATACATATATATACATCTATATGTGTGTGGTACAGTTTGAGGGAGGCTTAATTATGAGTTTATCATCACATATCTAACTAATAGTGGACTAAGACAAAATCATTCTAATTTGAAGATCTTGTAAATTTTAACTATGTAGATATTAACTATCATCTTTCCAGTAAATATTCTCTCATAAATAGTGCCAGAATCTCTTTATGGAAAAAAAAGATGATTGTTACACAGTACAGTACTATATTTCTTTCAAAGGTTAACGGTAGATAGCTTGTCAGTACTTGACCTTATATTCCAATCTCTTTAATATATTGGAATTTTTAAGCTGTGTAGTCAAGCCAGAAACATATTCATCAATCTAGAAAGTGCTTTTCACTATACTTGTTACTGAAGATATAAAGTCATAAGGAAATCTCAGTATTGAAGAGGCTCATAATGTGATATAAAGATAGAGAAGCATTTAATCTCAGTATATAGGAGTTACATAGATGAAAGAGGTTTCCAAAGCTGTATGTGGTTAAGGAAGTCTTCAAGAAGCAGTATCTGGAACTGGAGTTGGTGGTAACTAGATTTGGCCAGGGAGGTGAAATATGATATTTTTACCAGAGAGAACCATACTTGCACAATAATGCAGTCATGAAGGAATTGACGAGTGTATAGCAGATTTGTTAGGTTGGAGTTCAGTGGGAAATAGGAGGATAAAAAAAATCAAAGTAATAGCAGCCAGGGGATTATTACAGTACTCTATCACTACAACTGTTTTTAATCTAATCAATACTATGTAAGTAGCACTGTGAAAGTTTACAATTGAAGAAACTGAAGTCCATCTAGATGAGGTGATTTGATTAGATCATGTATCTTGTTGAGTATTTGTGTGTGTTTGTGTGGCAGGGTGGAGAGGGGGAGAAGAAGGAGCTCTCAAGCAGTGCCCAGGAGATCTGGAGGCCTCTCTTGCCAATTCTCAATCAACTGTGCTATAGGTTCAATGAGAAAGTCTAAGGATGCATGCTGCATGAACCTTGAGATGCCGTCAGTGAACATCTGTGCCACCCTACTGGTGTTTGATGGCTTCAGAGCTCTGATGCTCAGGGGACTATGTTGAGCCAGGTATTGAATCAGGATAGGCTCTATGCAAGCATGAACCTTCACCTCTCTACAATTTCTCCAGGTTAGGTATCTTGGCTAGAAGTAGAATTTGAATTCAATATGATATCTCCAAGTATGAATTTATCTTTCCCAAACAACTACCACACTCAGGTATTGGGGGATTCTACCCCTCTAAGCCTCTAAGCAGTAAAGAACCACACAAGGTTTTCAAGCTACTAAGTAACATGATGAGATTTTGCATTTTGTGAACATCTTTCAGTAGTTATGAAGAGAATGAACTAATAAAGAACCAAGATAGAATTAAGAAGTTACTATAAGGGTCAAGTACAGAGGGATAAAATGAAAGCTGAGGTTAGTGGTATTAAATTATTTATTAAGTACTCGATGACTAATGGATAATTGACTATTTATTGAAATTATATGGGTAGCTCTTTGAAATATATAATGCCTGTATCCAAAGTATAGAGATTGCGTTTTAATTGATCTGGAATATGGCCTGAGCATTGGTACTTTCAAGGCACATTAGATGATTCCATTAGGAAGTCAGAGTTGAGAACAACTGACCTTGACCAAGTCAATGATAGTGGGAACAGAAATAAAGAAATGGACTTGGGTATTACCTGGGTAATAGAGTAAATAGGAGTTGGTGGTTGATTGAAGGTATGTGCAATGGTGATGCCTGAAGGTCAGACAGAGCAAGTATGGGCTCTCACATAACTCACAGATTTCTGATTTAGGGGACTTTGAGATTCATCCTAGTTTCTTATCATAGATACATTCCATACCTGCTGGAATACAACAAAACTAAAATATTCTGAGAGCTCTTTTCCTTATATTGCATGCCCACAGGAATGCTTATTTGAGAGAAAGATCTTAGTAACTGTTCTGAAATTATCAGCTTCTCAAAGGATACATTCACATTTGCAGAATATATTCTAGTAGAAACAAGTGAAAATTATCTTTGACATGGATAAATGAAAGAATGGATCCAGGCATATGAAAAAAACTTTCTGATAGGTAGAGTCTCATTCTACAGAATTCACTGGTCCTGAGCTGTTAGTGGCAGCATGACAGCTGCAGTGAGGGCGCTATTTTCAGTTGAGTGCTAAGTCTTATTTCCTCATGCCAACTCATAAGAGTAAAATTTAGAAGATTTTTTTTCCCACTGAAAAATAACTTTGGACACATGTACTAAAAAACACACAAAAAAATTCTTAGGGGTTTTCTTTAATGCAAGCTTGCCAGCGAGGAGGCCATATGGTTTTCAACTCCAGGTATAATTTTTCTTGTTATTGGTGGTGAAACTATACTATTTTGAAATTGTCATGCTTATTCCAAAATGGCATCTTTAGTTAAAATAGATTAATCTGGTCTCACCTGAACCATCTGGCTGGAACACTACACCTTGATGAATGCAGACAAAGTCATAGATTCAATCCAGTAACAATATCTTTTTCCCTAACAAAATCTAAGTATGACTATGTAAGGTAAAAAAACAGACTATTTTAGCATACCTCCCTGAAGTTTAGAAGCTTAGAAAGAACAAGATACCTGTAGGAGAATTATGATTCTGTCTTAGTTGTCTATTCTGATTGTCATCAATGTTATACTGGATTAAAAAAAATTAGTCCACAGAGATTTGTTTTTTTCAAAATAAGGTTTCTCCAGAATTTGGTAATTTTCTTTCCTGAAGGTCTTTTTTTTTTTCTTCCTGAAGGCTTTTCTGTAAAGTTCAGAGGATAGAAATGAGGCTTTCAAAGGCAGAGTGAGCAAGATGACATATTAGGTAGCATTCTGCTTTGAAAATAGAAAAAATAAAACAGTTTTGCTCTAGGAAAACTTTCAACATGAACCAACAAATAAATATGAGTATGACCACATTTGTGAATCAGGGGTGTTTGCGGTTGAGGTACTTCCTTGTTTTTTTTTTCTTTTTTTATTAGTGAAACACCATGAGGTACAGTTATAGGCTTACAAATTTTGTGCTTGGGTTTCAGTTATACAATGATCAGTACTTCCTTGTTGTGATTGGAGCGAATTCTCAAGGTAAACTTGGTATTCGAATATATTAGGTAATCACAATTAGAGTATTAAAATTTCTAACATCACACAAATCTGGCTTTCTCCTAGATGATTCATTATATGGCATTTATTTGACTTGTACCACAGCAAAGTTTTTCAAGAACTCATTTTCTACTGATCATTCACTTTCAAACAAAGCCAGAGATTTAAAATTAGATTGGTCTAAAAACATCTAAGTCATTTATAAGTGTCTCAAGGAGTACACATTTCCATCTTTAAATTCTGGCTTGCAAGAAAAGATGAGGTCCTGTCTTCATGGTTTTCTTTGGTTAGGCTCATACAAGAGTGGACATTGATAGAAACACCAGGTACACTGAACTTCTCACTGTCAAAGTTATCATGTTCATGGGAGACTTTAAGGGTCATACATTGGTCCAATAAATTGGTTGTATGAAGTATGTATGCATTTAGGTTTTGAATCCTTAATACTATATGGGTCTGAATTGCCAGCAATATCTGCTATGGCCCAATATAGCCTATATCCAACAGATTTCTCCCCCCACCCATTAGTTTTCCTTTTTCCTTGTCACCCTAATTTTCATGAGATCAGGTCTTCATATTTTTTAAATTTTATTTTAGTAAATGGTTTAGTCAATGAATATTTTTATCACTCACCTGCTTTTGCACTTGGGTGAGTAACAAGGATAATACCAGAGTCACTGTTGTGTGTTAGGGAATTTACTGATCTATCTTCTAAGACCCATTTTCTTTCCAATGGAAACAGGCATTACCCAATGAGAAATGAATTCATTAAGTTTCTCTACCTAAAAACAATCTATTTTCCTTCCAGCATAGTCATCTCTCACCTAGAAAAAGGAACATTTATATAAAGCCTGAAACCATATTAACTTTTTTTCTCTTTTATCTCCATTCAGGATTCCAGCAAGATAAAATGAAATTCAGTGTGAAAATGAGGCTTTTAAATGCACTTCCTTTCAGAAAGGCGACATTATAATAAAGACAATAGGTTGTTGTCCTTGATAATCTCATTTGCCTTCAGCATAGTTCTGGGAGATAATTTCCTTGCTAGCTGACTATAGTCTAAATGTGTGCAAACTTTTTTCAAATTCTATAATTATACAAAGAACCAGACCATTACCCTTCACTATATTTGTACACATTTTTTAAAAATTGACATCAGTATATCATCATCATCATCATAAAACTTTTTATTCTGTTTCTAGAATCCGGCTGCCTCTCAGACCTAAGAATCTTTTCTTCCTACAACACTACTTGAGTTTGAATATATTAATACAACTGTCTGGTCAGTTTAATATCATATTATTTTACTCTTTTTTCTCTAACATTCTCTCATTTTTTTATTATTTAAAAACTAATTTTCATAATAGTTCAGGGGACTCAGACTTAAGAACTGGGGAGTTTAAAATCTAGGAACAAGTTTAATTACCTAGAAACTATTCACACCAAACTATATCTCATTCATTTTCCAATGATACACAAAAGAGTTGTGGGCAAGCACTGGCCCAAATCATATAAGAGAACATGGGAATCTATTAGGCATTAGTGTATATTCTCACATAAATTATTTTATTTATTTATTTTTTCGTTTTGGATCATACCCGGTGATGCACAGGGGTTACTCCTGTCTTTGCACTCAGGAATTACTCCTGGCGGTGCTCAGGGGACCATATGGGATGCTGAAAATCGAATCTGGGTCAGCCATGTGCAAGGCAAATGCCCTACCCACTGTACTATTGCTCCAGCCCCTTCTATACTAAAATTGGAACGATACAGAGAAGTTTAGCATGGCCCCTGCGCAAGGATGACACACAAATTCTCATATAAATTATTTAAAAATTTTTACTCTTTCAGAACTATAGACAACAATATCAACCATCTATGCTAGTCTCAAATCAGGATTAGAATATATAGTTTTGCTTAATGCTTTGAAGTTTTTAACATCTTTGATATCCTTTTAGGACTATGCAAGATGTTGACTTCTGGAGTTACTTTTCAGAAAGCTAATCTAGAATAGTAGTGGAGGTGTAAACTAACATTAGTGGTTAGATTGAGCATAGAAATTCAAGTGTAAATTTGTGTCAGTCTCAATGAGTTTACTATTCTAGGAAAATTTAATGTCCTTAGCTCTTTGACTTACTTACTGCAAATTGTAAGGCACCCTCCCTACCTGCTACCCCCACCTCAGCTAATCACCTCTCACCATCCAAGTTACCCACTTGATTTGTCTTCCTGAGAATTTGTTCCTTTTTATGTGGAAATATAGCTGGTGTCTCTTTGGAAAAAGAGATAAGACTAATTGGCTACTTTGGCAATCACTTTAGTCCTGGGTCTAGCAGAAAGGTCTGGTTTTTGGCAGGCGAGAGAAGTAAATACTCGAATTCCCAAGCTGTCAGCTAGCAGATGTATATTCAAATAGGAGAACAAAGAAGCGCCTGGAACAAAACTCAGGGCTCTGCCTATGTTGTCAGCTGGAAGGGAAAACTGTTTCAGCTCCAAAGCAAATGCTCAAGCTCTTGTGTTTTGACTCTCTGCACCAATCCCCTCAACTCAAAAACCGTGAGTCTTCAGACCGCTGTGAAAATATCACTGTATAGAGGATACGTATGCTACAAACTTAAATTTTCCACCTAGTGGAATGTCTTCACATCCTCATCATTGAGCTAATTATACCAGGCAGCTTTATGTGCTTTCCACCTGGTCTTTGCGACTGTGCTGCAATTCTCTCTAAACCCAGTCTCGGGCTACTGTCTTTTGGACTCATCAATCAATAGTAAATGACAAGACACTAGACTTTCCTAAACAAAGAACCAACAACTTATTTCTTGGAACTTGATTTTTGTGAGAAAGTCATTCACCCTAATTTTCAATATCTCTTGCCTTTATGGTAACAGCAAAAAATATATGAGGCTGATACTGGCTTAAAAGAAAGATATTATGATTTTTAAGTTTATATTTCTGGGGTGTTTGGGGGAAAGTGGGGGTCAAACCTGATGGTGCTCAGGGGTTATCCTGGCTCTGCACTCAGGGCTCAATCTTGGTGGATCCTGCTGGTGTGCTGGGGATTGAATCCAGGTCAGTCTCTTGGAAGGCAAACACCCTTTGGCAAAACCTACTAGTTAGGTCACCTCCACATTCTGACTACTTCTCCTTTCCTCCATCTGACACTTTTCTAGTTTCTATCACTGTCACATTTTACCTGCATGGATGTCTTTGCTTCTTTCCTAACAAGCCTTGCCATCTACCTTTGTTCCACTGCAGTCTAATCTCAACCCCACATCCAGGGTGATCCTGTCAGACTCCTGCTAAAATTTCTGCCAAAGTTTGCAGTGGTTTCCTGACATACACAGAATAAAAAACTGATCTATGAGATGATCTGCAATCAACTCTTTTTGTCAGCTCCAGCTCCTTAGGACATTTCTCAGCCTGCTCCCAAGGCAGGCTCTTACACTGCTCCTCCAACTTGAACTGCCGTGGGTTCTTTCCAGGCAGACCCCAGGTTCCCTTACTCAGAAACTTTCCTGCACATTTTTTTCTTCTCCCTAGCTTTCACCCCCATAGACTTTCTTAATTATTTCTTATTCTCTTTCCTCCCATAGTGTAAGCTTCATTTCCCCTAATTTCCTTGTCTCTACCTTTTAAATTTCCTCTAATTCTACTTGGCATTCTTTAATAAGGTATTCAACTTGATATCTTGGCATCCAAATAATCATTTTGTTTCCTGTTTTCCTCAATTTTATTAAGAAATAATTTATGTGACATAGTGTGAATATTAGTTTATAAGGTTACAGGTACAAAATATGTTGATCTGCTACACTTATATTACAAAATGGTTACCAATCATAGCATCCATCAGCTCACATAGTTAGCATTGTTTTTTTGTTAGTTCGTATGGTGAAAAAACGATATATTCACTTTGCAACAAATACTGGTGTCAGGAGATGTACAGTGAGTGATAAGGACACATGCTAGAGCTGGTTTTTACCCAGCAGTACATGGTTCCCTGTGCATCAGCAGTGCAGCCCTCAAGGCCCAGAGCACTGCTGTGGGTGGGTACCTCTGACATGGCCGTGCCCAAGCTGCATCACTTTTGCGGCCTCTTAAATCTCTGGCCCAGTTATCTGAGAATCATTGGAGCAGTACTTCGGCCTCCAGAACACTACTTTGGAGCCCTCCATCCCATAAAGAAAGTATAAAATACAGTGTTTTAACTACAATCATCATACTATACAACAGATTCCCAGAGTATATTCATATAATGAAATCTATAATGGAAAGTTTGAACTCTGACAAACTTTAAAGCTCACCCTCCAGATTTTCCCCCAAATCCAATTTCATGACTCCAAATATCAAAGTCTCAAAATTCCTGTATATATTGAGGGGATGAAAATATTCTAAAGTAGACTTATATCAAGCAAGTTTATTTAATGACTAAAGAAAGGCAGGTTAACAGAAGGCAGAAATATTACATAATACAGAAAAGGAAGAGAAACACATTCTAACCAGGACAGAAAACCTCCAAACTCCTGCTGTGAGAGCAAGGAAAGCAGAGCAGCTCCTTCCAATTCTGATCAAATTCTCAACATTGGCAGAACTTTTGGAAACTCTCAGGCTGCCTGGTCTTTGGGAACTTCCTGTCTGACTGGTTCTACTATTCTCTATACGCCTACATTCTTCATTATCCAACTTATGTCTGGGTGGGAGTCATTTTAAGTGAACACAGAAATAATTGCTTTTGCTTGTATCTACAGATCATTAGACATTCAATGGACCCTTATTGGACCATTTATGTAATCAACCAACCTTTGTTGGTTGATTACATAATGTTTCTCTGAGAGTTTTCCTGGAAATACATGAACAGATATGCCTTTTAGTAGATTTTTCCCAACTTAAGAAATAACTTCATGCTCAATAATCCAAGGCATTTATTGTCTCAACACATATGAATAAAACCAAACTGCTCAAGATTTTTATTTCATCAAGAACTCAAGCTAGCTCAGATAGAGAAGTCTGTCCCAAATATCCCACCACTACTTTTTTTTGTTTATGTATGCTTTTCAATAATTTTGAAAGGGCCCGTACCACCTCAGAGATTTTTATTTTCAAGGGAAAATCATCATTTAAATAGTTTTGGAAAATGAGATTTTTGCCAAATGTAACAATAGACATTAAAAAGGAAACTATATATAAATGGATAATTTTCATATCCACTTAAAATATACTAATATGTTGATCCTTAACATTTTGAAATTATCTCTTTTCCCTTTCTCTTTGCTAACTTATATTTTTGCCTTACTGTGTTCCCATATTTATTCATTCTCATATTTAGTGTCTGAAAATAATTTTGGTGATCTTTATATCAGCTGATCTGTAACAAAATATGACTAAATTAAAGTTTATACTTAAATTTTCTCAAACCACAAGACTTTAACTGTTATGCATTTTCTTGATTGAGTCATCACTTGATTTATCATAAATGTATTTTCATTAGTACATCTATGACCAAACCAATGGATTTTATAAACTAATTGTAGAATTAAGGGTCAGAGAGATAGTGCAACATGAAGGTTACTTGATTTGCAAATGGCCAATCTAGGTTTAATCCCCAGGACCCCATCTTGTCTCCTAAATCCCGCCAGGAGTGATTGCCAAGTGCATAGCCCAGAGTAAACGCTACGCTACACACTACTGAGTATGACCCAAAACATACCGACAAAAACCATCCTTTTATTGAGATGAATAATGAACAAATTCTTCTTAGGCTTTTAATGAAAGGTAACTATATTTACCACCAAAAATAATTACATAATATCAAACATTTTATAAAGTGAATTTTATTCAGATTGACTATGAAATACTTTATATATATGCATATACATATATAATTTTTTTTCTATATTGTACCTCCCATCCCCCTGCCCCAGGCTGGAGCGATAGCACAGCGAGTAGGGCGTTTGCCTTGCATGCTGACCGAAGTTCAATTCCTCCACCCCTCCTGAGAGCAACTGAGAGTATCTCAACCACAAGACAAAGCCTGGCAAGCTACCCATGACATATTTGATATGCCAAACATAGTAACAACAAGTCTCACAATGGAGACGTTATTGGTACCTGCTGGAGCAAATTGATGAACAGCAGGAGGACAGTGCTACAGTACCTCCCCCAAACTCTAAGTCAGTTATTAACCCTTTATACTTTGAGAGGAACAGGCTTTGTTAGAACAATTTTAAATATGTGAATCTTAATTCCATTGATTTGCTCGAACAGGCCCAGTAACGTCTCCATTGGAGACTTTGTTGTTACTGTGTTTGGCATATCGAATACATCACGGGGAGCTTGCCAGGCTCTGCCGTGTGGGCGAGATACTCTCGGTAGCTTGCCAGGCTATCCGAGAGGGGCGGAGGAATCGAACTCGGGTCGGCCATGTTGGCTGTGTGCAAGGCAAATGCCCTACCGCTATGCTATAGCTCCAAGTGAAGAGAATAGCTTTTGAAAGATTCTAAAGGTAGACACAATTAGAATTTTCAAAAGAGAAAAAGTGTATTTTCAAGGACAGAAGAGTCTAAGACAAAAGAAGCTTTAGAAACACTAGTTATGAAATCATTTCAATAGTTCAAGCTGAAGATGGTAGAATAAGCCATAGTGATTATAAGCATGAAAGAGAGAAATGGAGAGATATAATCTATATACCAGAATTAGAAATAAACATGATGTGGTGGTGAACTGCTTGTAGAAGGTAAGATAGAAACAAGTGTCAAGTGTAATAGTTCAGATTTCTAACTTAAGAAACTGAGGACACTGTTTACTAAAATATTAAATATCAAAATTAGAACCTTCAAGAAAT